ATACCCCTTGCATGCATATATTAGGCGTCCTGGTTTGTTAGCATTTGGAAAAACTTATACCCGGGTGTGTGGATTAGTAGGCGTTCATCAATCAAAACATTCATCGCAGAATTCTGGCTCGTTCTTACTTTAATCTTAGTTATGGCTGCTTTGATCGAAAGGTCTTTTACCAGTCGAGGTAACGAAGCTAAGCCGGACTTGCTCAATGTGTACCTCTTGCCATTTTGACTTCTGCACAATTGGAACAGAACATCTACCACTTTAGTTCAGGTAATGGCGAACTTACATGGTCTTCAGCTTCATCCTATGGGATTCTATTCCTTTACCCGGCGGAGGGCCTCTCAATCCACCTCCAGGATTGATCTTCGCGTAATCGGGGAGGTACCCGTATCGACTCTTGTGGGCAGCTGCAAGTGTGGATGACGCATACAGCGTTCATTGTGACAGGCGAATCGGCCGACTTTTCTTTTTGGGTTACGGTCCGGATGTTACTGTCGCTCTTTTTTTTGGACATTCGTTGGTCACAGCACAGCAAACATGACGGTCGTTTGTACTACACCCAAAGCTCTAGACAAGCGAGAGCGCTGCACGACAGCCTTGTGGCGATTTTACGTGTCACCAGACGTTCGCATACTTAAACTCCAGGAGCTGGGTATGCTACCTAAGGCTGAGCAAAGTGTCATATGTTGCTTCATCCCCGTGGCGTGCTACGGCTTGCATCCGATTTGCTCCCAACACTCTCTCACTTCATCTTTGCTTAGCGAGTTGTCCGAATTCCCCGCCATGTGTTCTTACGTTGCGCGGCCCGTTTGAGCTAGTGCTCGCATCCTCACGAAAAGGATCTTTGTATACCGCGAACAGTATCTCGCATGCGCTGAAACCACACATCATTCGGTACGTATACTAACCACTCACCGGTGGATGTAAGAAGATCTCATACCACAGCTACATGCTGTATATACAGTACAAGGCTCACTTTCAAACCCACTCCCCACCTTCCCCGTGCACAACGGTTGGATGATCTCAACATGTGTTCGACAATCACAACACTGAGGGACATGTATAAGAGCAGTGACAATGTGAGACTGTCAAGATTCTCTGGCACCATATAGAATTGTTTCATATGTATCTAAACGACTCACCCATAACGAATCGAGCTGAGCTCATAGCAACTTCTTTTGCCTCACAGCCTGGGGTCCCTCACCAAAGCTATGTGTCGAGACATTCATCGTCACTGGGAACGCTGTAACCACCAAGAGTACATACAGGCCCCACCGTGTCATCATTTCCGCATGAGTCTGAACCAAATCAACGACCCACGATACTTCAATCAGCCCGGCATCCCTTACCGTCAATCCCGAAGATGCCTAGAGCAGAATTACTACGACTTTCGCAGGAACGCCTATTGCACGCCGTGCATCATGACTCAGCAGGGCTGGAACTTCCGCGGATACCCATTGGGATTTGGCGGGTTTCCCAGGTACACATGACGGATAGTGAGGCGGAAGATTAGGATATGGCACATGACCCTGGGACATTCTTTGGAAACACCGGGTTAACTTCACAACGGTCAAGTGGCAGCTGATGCGAACGAATGAATGGTCAACCAATTCTTTTCCTCGTTTGGTTCATGTATTGTCACCCAATAACTCCTCATACGTTGGATGTCATAGCATTTCTAGCGCACGCTGCGTAGACTCCAGTCCTCTGTCCTTCCCTGGCAGATACTCATCATTACACTCTGACGGCAGGCTTTCGATTGCCGCGATCAGAACTTTCTTGAAGAATCCAAACAAGTAGCCGCTAACTACGCAGCTATTTAGCCTTCTTAGCGACCTCCTCGACCGGTGTATTTCCTGCATTCGACTGCAGCATTGCCAAGGTAAAGAGTCCCGTCAGCGTCAGCCACACATTACCCCACACGCCAATGCTCATACTGGTGTTGTAGTGACTGGGCAGTTTGTAGTGTTGGTACGCGCCGATGCCAGTTGTGATGTGATGGAAGACTGTCGCAGCCACCACCGCCTTCGCATACGGAATTGACGTGAGCTTCGTTGCAGGTGCTGAGCTGAAAGGCACAGCGTTGGTAAAGGACACTAGGATCAACGCAAGGGTGACGAGACACCACCCATCGTTGCGCACGTTGTATGCTTCGAGATCGTTCGGCGCAAGGTTCAGCTGCGAGGGAGGTCGGAACCCTAGATCATATTAGTTTCAAAACTCTGATCTAAATGGTACGAAGACAAGTGAAGAGCATCTGGGCAACGTACAGCCGATGACCATAATAGGGTCGTACACACGGCACATGCCACGCAGACCGTACCAGAATGCGGTACCGTATGCGTACGCATGGAATACCTGCCAGAAGCCAGTCAATTGCATACCTTGTACAATCGCGAAAGCGACACTTACAGCTGAGTTTACTGAAGGCATGATGTTTCGCAACGTAACTAGTGATCAATTGAGAACAGCAAAGCAACAATGGTACGGTGAGATGAGATATTAGTGAACATTGGTCCGCACACGAGCTTATCTTAAATGATGTTTGTTGACGTTCCTGGCAGGCTTCCGCACCCGCGACGTCATTATGAGAGCTTTAACAGCTCTATTGGTGTTGAGGGGCTGCAGCCACCCGTAGCCCCTCAGGGTAACCGGAACATCGATCCGCGTAGCGGACCGCGCATCGAGATGAGATCGCCCACGATCCGGCTGCAGACGATGACGCTAGATGGCAGGGATCCATTCCTACAAGTGTAAGGGGGATTTCTGGGATAGCGACGATGTACGAGACTCAGCACGATCGTGGAGAGCAGCCTCTTGAGGTCACGTCGAAAAAGTAAGCAAACGGCTGGGATACCACTGACCAACTTCGACTGACATTTATCGGCGTATCTGATCACCATGATATCCTGCCAGCAACGCTCCTCGTTGTTCTTCTTGCCTTTCCTAACCCTATGACGCCCTCCACACCACCTAATCCCTGCATTCTCAGACTCGCGTCAACTACCTCTAAAGCATTGAAGCTTTCGATAGGCCCCAAATCTGTCTTCTCTCCATCCTGAACCGCAGTTGCAGCCGCATTGATGATCTTCTCAACATCTTCCTTGACCTCTGGTAAGATTTCTGCCGCAGCACCTAACCAGCGTGCCAACAAACCCTTGAAAGAGACCTGATCCGTGTCGCAACCTCCATCATCTATATCCTTGCCTTCGCATTTTGATTCAAACAAAGCGCCAGTATCTGGTGAAGTAAAAGTCCGCTTCGCAGAAGCAATAAAACCGCGGGTTCGGTTGACCCATTTGTCGTCTTTGGTATGGACTGCCATAACAGCAGAGCCATAGAGGTAAACTCCAACATTATAACTCCACTGGTTGTGGTTCAGATCCGAACATCCATTCTCTTCGTCTGTCCCATCGTAGACATTGAAGTCTTTGTCCACGAGTCCGACTTTCGTGCTCCAAGCATACGTCTTCTCAGCCCAGGCCAAACTCTCTGTGTCATTTGTGAGATGGGCGAGACGGGCGGCGAGTTGAAAGAATAATCCGTTTGTAATGGCGTTCTTGTAGTGCCATCCGTTGTTTCCGTCTTCGTAGTCAATCTTCCAGCGTAGTCCGCCCCCGCACGTGTTTGCACCGTCTTCATAGCGCTGTCTTTGCTCGTTGAAGACGTTTCTTGCTAGGTCGACCCAAGCTATGCCTCCTAGTTGCGGTACTTTGTTCTCGGCGGCTGTCAGGGCAGCGAGCGCCCACCATGCCTGATCATCGTTGCCGGTGGCATCGATGGTCATGAAGTCGTTTGTTGCTGTCGCTTGAGTCACGATCGTGTTCTTTAGCATCTCCTCATACTGCCAATCTCCTGTTGTTGGACCATAGTTGAGAAGCGCTTCGACCGCAGTTTCGGACTGCCACCACCAGTACGGTTGAGGTAGTAATGCTAGATTTTGATCCGGGAAAGAAGACTTGAGCGAAGCAGCGAGGCTGCTTGAGGTGGTCAGGAGGGCGGCTGGTGGTGGAGGAGATGGAGGTGGGGCCTGTTTCGCAGCAGTTTGAACGATGAGGGATATCGCGTTGGCGAAGTAGGTCGGTATCATGTTTAACGATTACGGTAGGCACGAAGATTTTGGATTTACGTTGTCGTTGATTTGAATGTAGGCTAATCAAAGCAAAAAGAATGTAATGAACTTGTAATGAACGTGTATGGTTCGCTGAACCAAGAAAAATAGTAATGAACGAGAGACTGCGCAAAATGCGACGGTAGAGAACGACGAAAAAATGGAAGAGAGGACGAAAGATGAAGCTTACGCGTAAAAGACGAAAGCTGTAGACAGCTATCGTACATAACTTACACAGCCTACAACGCATAACGCTGTTTCAACCCAGCATACTCTGCACCGACGCCGTGCACATTCCAAGATTAAACAGGTGTCAAATTACCTTGGCCTCCCCACCATAAATATAGATGTCCCATGTCATCGCCTTGTGTGCGTTGTCGATAAGAAAACTTCGTTGGGTGAACCTGCCAACGGCTGCAAAACTCTCCTGATCGGCGGCTAGGGGGCCCGGTCTAGAATCAATTTGCCTGAATATCTGAAACACAATGCCATGACGCTGCAGTATGTGATTCGTCGGATGTTGAGAACACTGGAGAAGCCGAGAAGTCGCGGTACGTGTGCTGGCAGGGGTCGGCAAGAACGGTTCATGCTGCGATAGCGGTCGTTGGGACCGTCGATGGGTATATGCATTGAGAGCGATAGCGATGGTACTGATCTGGGTGAGGGTGTGATGCACATCGCGTTCGCCATCTAGACTATGGTAAGGTCAACGCATGAGTCGCGCGCGGGGTGGTTGGCGGCCGAGAGACTGAAAATGTATATGCTAGGACCGTGAGATCTTCGCGATACGACTCGCGCTGCCTATGACTGGAAGCGGGCGATGGCTGGAGGCTTTCCCATTACATGCTTCCTTGTCCTTTTGTCTCTACATTGCCATTTATCAGTACGCCTACATCTTCGCCGATGGTTCAAGCTTGGCCAACACAAAACTACCCCAGCCTTCAGCATACACGGTACCTTCTCCATCTTCGACCCATCCTGCTGTTTCTATCCACCTTCCCACCTCTCTGCTTATCCTCGCCCTGACCTTCAGTATGCAAGGCGTTTCGACAGCCTTCAAGTACTTGACTCTCAACTCCGTAGTCGCATTGCTACTTTCGTAGTAGTGCATCAACAGCGCGCCCATAGCCTGATCTAGCAAAGATGCAGTGACGCCGCCGTGAAGACGCCCAATACCACCATCAAGCTCACCACCCATAGAAACTAACACGGTATTCTCAGGCGCTTCTGGGTCTGTAAGGTCGTGTTGTACATCCTCCTTTGCCGTTCGTCTGCGTAACTCCTTGTCGTAGTCGCTCGGCGCAACGTTCCTGAATTTCGGTGGCTCGCCTGTGACTATGCTGTTCCGGTCTACTGCTCTTCTCTGCCCTTTGCCAGGTTTGTACAAGTTGAGGAAGGCACGAATGGCATCGTTGGTGAAGAGACTGCGGGTGAAGAGAGAGTTCCATTCGTCTCCCTTGCCGAAGACGTGACGTTTGTGGACGCGCGTTATCGAGGGATCGAAGATCAGAGCATTGCACCATTCGTGTGCGGTAAAGTCTTCTAGGTGCTCAATTCTTGGGTCGGGCATCGTAGGCAGTAGAGGGTGTGGACAGACGACTGTCATGCGACGGACGACGTGCGATAATAACTCAAGTCCGATCTAGAAGACGGCAGAGGACGATGCGACATGATTACTGACATGTTAGAGGCCATGTTGGAAGCCGTGTTAGTGCTGATATTCACTGGCTCAACTCCTCAGTTGCGAAACGGAGATGCGCAAGTTCCGAGGTTACAAGCTGGCGGATCGATCAAGCTTAGTGCGGCACTTACCCACAACCGAACTAACGTAGAGACACGATAAGGTCACCAAGCATTGCGCCATCTCAGCGGCATAGACGCACTCTCTTGCATAGGCTCCTACACCGGCCATCATCTGCCCGTAGACACTAATCAGCTCACGCAATGTCGCATGTCAAGGCAGTGTTCAGTCATCTTCCTGTTCAGTCGCGGTTTCGTAAACTAATCAAATATTACAGTCATTACGTCGTGAGTTCCTATGGTATCTCAACCCATGAAATGTAGCCTGTTATATCCAATACCGACTCTTATACCGCAGGAGGGTAGAGCAAGATTACTCTACACAGTGCGGGGTAGGCGTGGAGCTATCAGTCGTTAAGGCTGACAACCTAGCACGATGCTCAACGGCTGGCGCTCAGAGAGACTAACATATGCGCGCCGTCTAAATGAGCAGCGTCGTCCATCCGAGGCTCTAGAGTCGAAGAATCTACTCTGGGGTCATCCGTCTTCTTGTTGATAGGAGAAGCGTACAGGGCGTCAGGGAGCAGACCATCGGGGGGCTCAGAGAGCTCCGACTCGTTGTCCGACCCAGACCTGCCTTTGATGTTCGTGTCAAGATAATAGTTGACGCAAGCGTCTTGTCTGGGGTCAACAGCAAAAGACTTCGTGGGCGAATCTCCATCCGAGGAGTCAACCATGGAGTTGATGATGGACTCATTTGACATGTGACTCTTTTCAGGTTTCTCAACAGATTGAACACCAGCGTCGGATTCCGCAGTCATTGCATCATCTGTGTCGAAATCCTTGCTTTCGAATGCAATATGCTCAATCTTTTGACGCTTGCGGATAAGCTCTTGGTTCTGTGCTCCTGTCTCTTCACTTCCAGCAACAGTGCCAGAGTCCACATTGTTGGGCAAGTCCATGCCAACAACTTCACCTTCGGAAAAGGTCACTTGGTCTTTAGTGCGCTTGCCCTTGAATGGACGATCTTGATGATTTCTGTCTGCTCCACGACCATCCTTGATCCACTTGCCACGGTGAGCGTTCGAGATAGTGTTGACAAGGGTGCTACTATAGAGCTTGTGAGGTGCGCCAATCGTAATCCAGTTCTTCTCATGCTTCTGTCGTTGAGTCAGCTACAAGTATCAACAATCGTGTTAGTCTTGAATAATCACCATCAGAGTAACAGCGACGTGCTTCGAACTCTGAGCACCAAGTCAGTATGAGTTCAGTCATCGCCAGAAGGGACAAACATACCTTCAGCACCTGGCATATCCAGTCAATACGCTCTCCGAATAGCCACTTCTGGGTCTGGCCGATATAGTCAACGATGGACTTGTCGTAGATCGGAACTTTGAAGCCTTCCGTGTGAATATACTTGGCCTTGTCCTAAATCACTTGTCAGCAATTTAATTGTCGTCATTCTGGCATACACTTCTTACTCACAATTATATCCCAGGCACAGGCTTCGATAGCCCAGTCCTGGTAGTAGGAAGTCTCACCCGGAGTGAAGCGCTTGCGGTAGGCGTTGGTTGCGGTATCCTTGGCGATGCTCATGTCCTTGAAAGCGTCCACCAACATCACAACAATCCTGCGGTGTTCTTCTTCGGTCTTTGGGATGGTTTCATCCTCCTGAGGTGCGTACCACTGAGCAACAGCCATCGATTTCTGAGCCTCACTCATGTTGTTGAAGCACAGGCCTTCGATCACTGGAAACTCCTTGTTCAGGCATATCGAAGTATTAGGCTTGGGGCGATACGCAGCCTTCAAAAATTTGGGTACCTTTTCCAGCTTCTGGTCAGATAGTCGAGGGAGATTAGGTGCGGGGGAAGGCAGGGCTATGATAGAAGTCATCGTGGTGGCTTTGTCAGGTGCACCCTGAGTGGTACCCATGTCGAGATCGCGATCTGTCATGTTGTTGGACTTGGGCGTAGGCAGGGAGTGGATTGACTTGGGAATATAGCTGCCTGCAAGTAACGTAGAGGTTAGTTTCGTTTTGGTGCTCAAATTCCAAGTTCGGTAGACTTACTCTCGAAGATGTGTTGATGCATTGATATGTACGGTGTGAAAAGTGAAACGCCGTAGGACACGTATTTATGTACCACAAGGGCAGCAGTCGAAAGGCGATCAGGAAAAGTTTGAGTGAAGCGGCGCACGACCTAAGGCGCTATTCCAGGCAGCCTGTAAAGTGAAGTGAAGTCGTGCTGTCACAAAACTGGGGTCGATAAGTGATCACTGGATGATGCCAAGCCTGTCAAATGTCGCAAAATCGAATTCTTGCTCAGTGAAATCGCAAAGCTTACTGTTGTGGCCCGTTGCTTGGGTAAGCAATGTATGTCGCGCTGCGTGTATTGACCACCGCAGGTGGGTGGCTAAAGAACCGTCCAAGCGTCGTCTGATCATCTCGCATTCACCTTGGATTTGAGAAGCGTTTGCTTCAGCCAACATCAGTCCTGTTCCTTAAACTCTTGCAGCACTTGCGGCATGCCGAAACTGTGCTTTGTTGTAAAGCAAAGCAATGTAGGCTTCGGAAGACATGATACCAAATGCTCTAGATGTTGTCCGTAGCTCAAAATAACACACTCTGAACCTCATATTGACTGGCTAATCCTATCGTAGAGAGTGACACAAACTGACACGATCACTACAGACATCTTGATGAGTCGGCTCACACTATCCGCAAGCGCCTGTCGCTTCCTCGTTGGTGTAGTCGATTGCTGTTGACAGTGGCAACGTGCGCACCAAACAGGACAGTGTTCGGCTTCCCATCGAGTCACATCTTACCAGAATAAGTTTTTCTGGGTTTTTCCAGGGCTTGTGGTGTCGTGCTGCAGGTGCATGTTGCGAAAGACATGAACGAATCCTTCGTCGACAGGAATGGCAAAGCGATAGGTGCGCCTTGTGCTATGCAACAACTCGGAGACGTTGCCTGTTCTTCTCTATCAGATACCACTCTTCTAGTAGGGAGTTTAGAGCATATGGCCTCTTCACGTTGCCGAGGGAATACGCATCTGATAGAGGGCAGGGAGAAGAGAATGATTCTGGCAGAATGAGCCCGTGGCGCACTTACTATGCAGCCATCCCTGCCTTCATGACCTGTCTCACTTGAGGGGTCTCGTATCGACGGGGTATTGGATAGGTTGCGCGTGTCGTGAGTGGCTTGTTGATTATGCGTCGTCGCAGAACCATGCTGTGGCATCGCGCGTAACTAGGAAGTTTCGGTTCGCATCGCTATCAACGTGATCGCGGTAGGTCACAAAGTGTCTTCTTTCGCTGTTGTTCTTGGGAGGCGCAGCATAAAGAGGATGTTTCCTGGGTGTCTTTAGGTTGGAGATAGTGACATCATCTCTAACGCGTCTGAAGGACAGTCGTTGGGGTAAGTTTTCTGTGGATCGCGATAACTGTGGATGATATGGCTTGCTAGCTATTGGGTCTTCGTACGCCCAAAGCACCCAGCGTTCGGCGCTGGTATGACTGTTGGTTACATCCGGACGCCATTTGCGACTCGATCTAGAACGATGACCAGCACGACATATGAAGCCGGCCAGTGGTGGGTTGGTATGGGGACGGATGCCGTCATGCTTGTAGCGGGAAAGGACAGCCGGTGCTGAGGGGCAGAATCGTCGTCGCTAGCGTGCATTGATGTACCTCAAATCCAACGACAAACCTACATGGACTTATCTACATCCCTGAACGTCTCCTTCTTTCTTCGGTCACTGCCACTTCACGTTCCAATCAGGTCTTCTGAGCATGAGAATACGTAGGATGATGTTCGCTGCACTGCCCAGAGGCTCCGCTCCCAGTCTTTCTCAATGAGGCTGCCGAAGGCGCAAAGTCTGTCTAAATCGCGCAATGGATCAAAAATATGACCGATCTAGAGTGTTTTCTGCCTCTCTTTTCTCATAACCTTAGTGACATCTTTCAGATGCGTTCTGATTTAACTCTTTGCTTTGAGCTATCCCGACGAAAGAAGCAACAAGCAGTAAGAACCTCTCCCAGTACTCCAAATAGCCATCGTTACCGTCACCCGCTTACTAGGCGAGAATCAGTTGATCCAAATTCCAGAGCCACGTGTCTGTCATGGCAACCGTTTTAGAGAGTCTACGTGATTGCCCGACCAGTTTGTCCGCGGCAACATTGGAAGTCTTTGTCATTCTCATCAAGCACTTCAGCATAAGAGTCGAGCAACACTCCCGAACACACAGAAATTACAGAAAGACAGTCATGTTTTGAGCCCAATCGCGGGTCGGCTTGTCCTCCCCTTCGATGATTTGCCTTTTCCCTTGATTTGCCCTTCTGCCCTCACTTCTCGTCCACTGGACCGGACCGACGCGATTTTCGAATTGCACGGCTGACCATACAATGGCGCGAGCCGAGTTTCGAAATCTACAGTCTGGTCAACAGTATCCTCCGCACGCGTCACCCACAGCGTCCGTTCGTGTCGATTGATCTTCACTCAGTTACTCTTGAACGGTCATATATAATGACAACAACTCCATCAACAAAGCACTTTATCGTTAGCTAAGGTAGGCCAATTCACTGGTCAATTATCGGAAATCCAGTGCCGAGGGCTCTTCTATGTCGATTCCTCCTCGACATTCTGCTTCTGCCGCCTAGGAAACGCTCTCTGTAAACACACGATTCACTTTGCGCCCTACCTTGTTCTGGTCAAGAAACTTTCATTGCAGTATTTCATGCGAAATAGGCAACTCCAGAACGCTTTCCTTTCCCCATGACCGCACAACTGTATTTCATTCCACCACCGCAAGAAAAAATTCTTCTCCACATCAC